GTTCGAGCGCCCCCTGCAGAGACAAGGGGGGGGGGGGGGGGGGGGGGCTATAAGCTTTTGAAAGGCAAACCTCCCTTCATTGGGTACCAGTAATTTTGGCTCTCAGGAGCTCGTACCCCGAAACTCTTGCTGGTCTCTGAGGTGCTGCTGTAGGGCTCAGATCTGGCTGTATCAGGTGAGTGTATAATGCTTAGTGTGCCAGATTAGGATCTGGGAGACCTAGCATCAGATCCCCCCCCCCCCGCCCTTGTCATGAAAGGGGGGGGGGGGGGGGATCTTAGGCTGGTAATTTGCTCTTGGTCTGACCTACTCCACGGGGTAGCTCTGAGGCTGAAATGGAGGGGAGAATCGTGTGTGCTGCCCCGAGCTCCTTGGAGGAATGGCTGAATAAAAATGTACTAAAGAAAGAAAGAAATGCAGGGAGCAGAAACACATTATGAGGACAGCTTTGCTTTGTCTTCACTGGGTTCTTACAAGCAGGCATATTCAACAGATGCCTCCCTGGGGTGTGTGCGTGTGCTTGCTTGCTTGCTTTGTTCAGTCTTGGAAAGGGCTGGTGTAGGTACAGAGATATACAGAATGAGGGTTTCACAAGAGCTGTTCTTTCAGTGGCGTTGTGAAGGTCATGGTGGCTCTAGCCCTTTTTGCCTGAACTCTCCAGCTGGCTGGTGCTTGGACAAAGGTTGCATTAAACAGACATGTGCCTGCTCCTTACAAATACTGTGCAGGAAACCAGCCACTTGTGTTGCATGTCCTTCTGCAGCCTTTCTGTAGTACCCTTTTCTTGCCATGCATTGTTCTGCTGCAGCAACCGATCTTGTGATGCAGCATTGCAGATCTCCCTCCCTCCCTTCCTCCCTCCCTCCCTCCCTTCCTTTTGGATCAGTTAGCATGAAGCAATGCAGGTCCCCTCCCAGCGGTAACGGCCAACATGGGAACAGTTTGGAGACCAGCCAGTGGGTGGGGCTGGATCCGATCTCTCTGCAGATTAATCTTCATGGTGGTGGACTGA